AGGTATCACAGCATCATTATTATCCTTTGCATGAAACTGCAGTCATCCTTAACTGCCTCTGTTTTGAACTTGATTTATTTCTGGTGGTAAAGAAAAAAAATTTGGTTTAAAGAAGCATTTAAAAAGACATCCACCAAATAGTTAACATGGCACTTTTAGAAAAATTGGGATAATTTTTGATTTCTTCTTTATACTTCTCTTCATAATTTTACTATTTTTACAACAACAAGCAAATATTAGTGCTATAATCAGGGGTGAAAATAATACAGCTGTCCTGGGTTGAATTGTGTCCCCCAAAAAGATATGTTGAAGTCCTTACTCACAGTACCTCAGAATGTGACCTTGATGGAAAGTAAAAATTTTGCAGATGTGATCAAGTTGAAGTGAGGTCTTAGTGAACTCAGACCTGTTCTGATCCAATATGACCGCTGCACTTATAAGAAGAGGGACTGCAGAAATTGGCCACGTGACCATGAAGGCAGAGACTGGAGTGACGCGTCTATATGCCAAAGAATGCCAGGAAACATCAGCAGCTGGAAGAAGCAAGGAGGAATTCTCCTCTACTTGTTTCAGAGGGAGCACAGCCCTGCTGACACTTGCATTTGGACTTACAGCTTCCAGAACAGAGACACAATAAATTCTATTGTTTAAGCCTCCCTGGCCCACACCTACATCAAATTTCTAGTACTATGTTACAGCAGCCCTGGGAAACCAACATAAAAACTATTTTAATTTTGAGAGGAAATTCAATTTACTATGTAAATACAGTCAGATTTGCCATCCTGCCATGCCACACATGGAATAGTAAGCCTTTCTATAAACTGGTCTCCATCCAGTATAATTATCTGGGATTGAATTAACGGTACATGGAAAAACTACGTGGAAAGATCCCACTTCTTCGTTTCTCTACAGATCACACAAATTTCAAAGTGGTTCTGACCACACTCCTAGGCAACAGAAGCATCATTTTCCAAGGCCCTCAGAACACTCCTCCTGCTGAGAATCATCAAAAATATCTTGAAACGTCCAGAGATCTGGCTCATTGATGGACTACTTTAAAGAATTCCAGACCTGCTTGTCATCATTTTTATTTTTTTCCTCAACTATATTAAATATGACTATAACAATGAGCTGAAAAGAAAATTAGGTCCCGAGTGGTTTGGCATCTTTTCGGTATTGAAGGTCAACCACATAGCAGTGAGCCAGAATGCATCATCAGCAGACATATGGCATTTGTTTAGGAGGGAAGTAGGTGGAGGAAGAGTGTCCTGTATTCCAGCTGCCTTCTACGGTCAGTCTGGATTTCTGCAAAATCTTACTGTATTTTAGGTAGCTTCATAATCATCTTCTAAGTGCCTATGATACAAGAAGGAAGATGACAAGACACGAAGAACCCCATAACTTCTGACTGTGTTAGGTGCTTGGCAAAGAGAAATGGAAGATCCAAGTGCATCAGAAGTGGACAGAGTCCAAGTTAGATCAGGATGACGGTCTGAACTCTGGGGCAAAGGAACACAAGGCACACTTAGAAGGGAGGGCTACAGCTTGTGGAAAATACAGTATTGGCTGAAGTCACTCATTTTTTTAGAGTAATTGTATTTGAATGCTATTCTCATAGGATTAATTATACCTACTTGGGTGCCTTTATGATAGCAAATCCAAATGAGCACAGCTGACTACACACACAGAGAGTGTGTGTACACTTGTAGGGTGATCAGGCAGGTCACCAAATGGCCAAGGATTAGTTAAGAACTTGGGCAGTTTCAAATGATAGAAACCAACTTTTAACTATCTTATACCACAAAAGGGGAAATTTTTGTTAGGAAATCAAGATCTGGAAGTGGCATCCATTCCCTAAGGACTCATTATTGTGTCTTTATGTCACAGTGCCCCTCCTAGTTCTCTCCTTCTTGAAAGGTAGCCTTATTTTCTTGTCTGCAAATGGGCTTCTCCTGTCTAGCCAGAACAAGAAGATTTGTTCCTGACATGTGTTCTCATGACTCACAATCCAGAGGAAAATTCTGTTTTCTCAGTGTCCATGCACAAATCATCCAGAGAACTCTCTGTTGGCTTTGGATTAGGTGTCCACACTGAAGTCAAATATCCTGGCCAAGTAGATGCTGTAGTCTGGCTAGCCAGTCTTTGGTTTGCAACCAGAAGTGTGGGGCACTGAAATTGGCAACACTCTGAGGACAACATGGCACGGAAAGAGTATCCATGTGCAGTGTATATTATCCAGAGAGAGGAAGATGATGCAAACAAGGCGAATAGTAGGAGATTACTAAATATCCCTGTGCCCCACATTCTAACCCATCTCTCCTCGACCCAGATTTCTATGTCATTTGAAGTCTTTGTTTTACTTTTTCAGGTTACAGTTGTCATGTATCACACATAAGGTAGAGATACCTAGATAGACACTAGGTAGATATTCAAAAATTACAAGGCTAAACTTTGCAGAGTTGACAAAAAAAAACAATAACAATGCTAATTCTATAAACATGTAAATAAATAATTATAAAACAAAACTTTTATATGAACCAAGCTTTAAATTAAGGAGGTGTGAGATATATAATGTTGGAAACCATAAGCACAGGTTATTTTTTCAGTTTTTATTCGTAAGCATTTGCAGTACATAATGATTACATTCCTCATGGGGAGTTGGTACACATATATAACACATCTTAATTCTTTTTCACCTTCTTTCCCTCCCCTCCCTTCCCCCTCCCTCCATCTCTCGGTCCCTTTCCCATTTGCAAAAGATCTATCTCTCTACTTCCTGTTACCTATCTTTTATTTTGCCCTTTATTTTGGGTTTCTCATATAAGAAAAAGCATGTGATATTTGAGCTTGTATGTCTGATTTATTTTGCATAACATTATAATCTCAAGGTACATCCATTTTCCTACAAATGACTCAAGTTTATCCTTCTTTCTGGCAGAAGAGTACTTCATTGTGTATAAATACCACATTTTCTTTATTCACTCACCTCCTGAGAAACATATAGACCACTTCCAAGATTTAGCTATTAGGAATTGTGCTACTATAAACACAGGAATGCATCACCGATTATTTTTTAAAGCAAGCTGTAAATAAATATAAAGGTAGACTGAAAAAAAATCAGAAAGGTAACTCATTCACTTGAGGATAAAATACACAACCATAATGCAGAGTCACAATCTTTCCTGCTCATGCAGAAATTCTATGATAGACTATTCAAAATTAAATGTCTCCATATAAAATGGGAAGACAAGTTCACTTCATAAATAAATATAGTCAAAACATTGCACTTTATCTTTAAAGTGGGGTCTTGATCCCAACCATATATCTTTTAGGAAATGACATAATTTATGAAGAACTATAAGTAACTTGAAAAGACCTGAATTTGTGGCAATGTGGTACTTAGAGGCAGATTCAGAGGATTTACCTTTTTAGATGGTAAAAACAGATCTGACCGTGACATCTGACCGTCACCTCCTTCCCACTTGTAGGATCTGGAACTTGCCTTACTTGTGTTCAGTGTCCCATATTTTCCCTCCAGCTAAGATTACATCCTAAAGTTCTAGGTATGCAGACACTCTGGCATAGTCACAGCCTGAGATATTTCTTTTTTTTGGTATTAACTTTTGAGGAAGAATCCAATGATGAAGGTATATTTCCAGTCAGGAATCAAATAAACTTTCCCACACCCTTTTAACCAGGGCCTCACTTGAAGCCAGTTGGAGTCTGGACCAAGGTTATTACAAAACAACAAACCTCTAGGCCCCTTCTCCATAGAAAATGATGTTTCTAAGTCAAGGTGGCTAATTCTCCATTACCCATATGCATATTATTACTCCAAGGTCTGTATCTAACCAATGTTTGGTTTTCCAATTTTTGAAAAATTAGAGCACACAGAAAAAGATCAACTGAAGTCCCTCATGTAAACACCCTTTATTAACTTTTTGATAATGTGAATAGGAAATGGAAATATATTTTTTCATTCACAGCAGTGATTTTGTGCTGTAACAGATCATTACCTGATTTTTTTTTATTTTTTATTTTTTTATTTTTTGGGGGGGTACTGGGGATCAAACTTGGGTCCTTGTGCTTGTGAAGCAGGTGGCAGAACCACTGAGCTAAATTCCTGGTCCTGTTATCTGATATTTAAAACATAACATTATAAAATGATTTGAATTTAAAATATTTTTCTATTAGCATGTTACTCTATTGTATAATGCTAAGTTAATGTATATAATGACTATTTTAGGTTATTTCCTCTTTATTTTTTGCTACTATCTGTATAAACTATTCTGTGATGACATCCTTATAAACCTTTATACTTATTTCCTTGGATTTAGTTGCAAGACGTGCAATTGCTGAGTCAAGGTCTTTTAGATTCAGACTGTTAGGCAAATTTGTCACCCAGAAAAGTATAAGAGTTCTCATTGTCTCTCACCAGAGTCTCACTACTCCTTAGAATTTCTGACTATTCAGGGTGGGGAATAGTATCATCACCATGAATTTTCTCTTTAAAGATATTTTTAAAAAATATCTGACATATCTGAAATCAGATTGCACCTTGACATAGATGGTGAATTTATACTGTTACAGTTCTATCTACAGGATTTTTTCTTAATAGCATATAAAGCAACCATAGACCCTATGATCAATGGCATCTTAGATTCAGTGAAATATGGTAACTCAATCTAAGCAATTTGAAGTGCTGGCCCAGATTTCCTTGCCACCCACCAAGCATCTGGGACCAGTTGCCCTTGCTAACCACCTGCAGCAAGCTTAGAGTATATAAATTTGATTCAATTTTTATTCAAGTCTCTCTGCATATGGCTGAGGGAATACAAAGATGAACATGACAGTGCTGAGAAAAACTTAATTAGGAAGGTCAATGCATAAGAACCATGTAATGAATTTTATCACAAAACCTTGGTGGAATATGGCAGAATATAAATAAAAACATTATCTATACAGAAGCCAAACAGACGTGAATTTTGGATCATCTCTTCCACGTTTCCTTTATTGTCACAGAGAACCAAGAGCTGTGCTGAGCTACCAGCAGCTCCTTGAGGACATCCTCTTTGCTCTGGGAAGGTATTGTTGCTGCTCACTCTAGCCCAGAGGATGTCCTCTTTCCGTGGGTTTGTCACACAGCCAACTCCTGCTCCACCTTCAAAACCCCCTTTTGGAGTCCATTCTCAGTACAGGTGTCCTACAGTGCTCACCTAGAGAAACCAAGTCCACAGATTTAGAAATGCAAAGAAACATTGGCCCAACAGACTTCTCTTTGGGGCAGAGAAAGAGCTCCTTTCTTCTTCATGAATGCCCTCCTACTGTCTGTAGAGAACCTAGTGATACAAAAACAGAAAGCCTGTAAGACATCCCTCCCCCATTTTATTTTAGTACTGAGAATGGAACTCAGGGCTTTTGCACCAAAATATATACAAAGTCATTTTAATTTGTTTTTTTTATTTTGAGACAGGATCTTCCTAAATTCCTAAATTGCCCAGATTGGGCTCAAACTTGTAATCCTCCCACCTCAGCCTCCCAGACTGATAAGATAAGAACTGTGTATGTCTGGCTCTTCATTTTTTGTCTTACTGCTTACAAGAATTCTTAGAGGCTGAGGATTTAGCTCAGTGGTTTTGCTGCCTGCTGCGCAAGCGCAAGGACCCGAGTTCGATCCCCGGTACCAAAAAAAAAAAAAGCAAACAAACAAAGAATTCTTAGCAATGATAACAAAAAGAGACATTATCTTACATATTAGAGACCCTTTCATATGGCCACATGTTGTGTTAGAGCTCTCTAGGGGAACAAAATCAATAGAAAATATATCTACAATTATGCAAGGGATTTATTAGATAAGCTCACAGCATCAGAGGCAGGATAATACACAGTGGCGGTCTGCACTCTGGAGAGCCAGAAGATCCAGCAGCTGCTCAGCTGTAGAAGATGGAAGCTGCAAAACAAGAGGGATCAAGGATGCAGCGCCAGCCTAAGGCCGAAGGTCTGCAAGCTCACTGCAGAGTTGCCAGTGTGAGGTTGGGTTGGAAGGCTGAAGAAGCTGGAATCCTATGTTCAAAGAAGATGGCAGCAAAAGATGCACCAACTCAAGAAGACAGGAGCTTTTCCAAAACAGGACACAGTTCCTTCTTGTTCTTCTTCAATTCCATCCAGGCTACCAGCCTATTGGTTAGTGCCACCAACAACTGGAGTGGGTCACCTGGGCTCAGTTTGCTGGCTCCCATGTCATCCACAGACACACCCAGAATGACACTTTCCTAATCTGCCAGGTATTCTCATCCCAGTCATGTTGACACATCACAAAAACCATCACATTAGTTTATTGCACTTTTTTCCTATGCCCACTCGGGGAAATAGCAGAGTAATTTGGGTATCTTACTCGACAGATGAGGGACCGAGATAATGAGTGTAATAATTAATGGCTACAGTGCCTAAAATGATATTTTATCAGGTGACTCTACTGTTTGTACTGGAAAGTACTTGCTGTCTTGGGACAAAGGAAAGGGCCAAACTCTTGTAAAGAATAAGTATCTGAGACATATCAGGAAGGCACCCTGCCACACAATGCCTACATGTCTAACCTTGCTGATGTTTAAGCTGATGGCAGTAGAGCTTCTCTTCTCCGAGACATTATTCTTCGTGAAATGTGACTCTATTTAGCAATAGTCAAAGAAATAACTATTGCTTCCATTTATTAAATACTTCATTTTGCCAGGTACAGACATTTTCATCACATAATTTTCTAAGCAATCCCACAAAGGAGGTATATCTCATTATATAGGTAAGAAAAATGAGTCTTAGAAGTGAAGTAACTTGCATAAATTGCTGGGAAACTTCAGAACTGGTCATCAAAACCAGCTCTTTTTGATGAGGTGCAGACCCCAGAAGTCAGATCTGAAATAGCTTGGCTCCAAAACTTGTTCCCTCTTCTAGCTGTGTTTTCTACCACCTTCTTTCAAACTTTCCACTGAATATACCCAAACTTCTTTTAGTCACTCCAACAAATCATAAAAACTCTCTGTTTTTCTTCTCCTGCCCCTTTTACTTTCCAGCCTCCTTTATCAGGCTCACACTTTCAGGGCTCAGCTAAAAATTTCACTTCCTTGGGGACCTAATGCCATGACAGTTTGTCCCCAGCCCCAGATGTTGTTGGGTGGTTCCTGCTAAGGGGTTCCAGAGTGACTTCGTTTTCCTTGTGTTAGACTGGATCATATGGCATAGTTATACTTGCCTGCGATATTCATTCAATGATCCCTTAGTCCTTTCATGCTGCTATAATAAAACGCTATAAATGAGGCACCTTATGAGCATCAGGAACTTATTTCTCAGTTGTGAAGGTTGTAAAGTCTAAGATCAAGGTGCTGGCAGCTCTGGTGTCTGGTGAGAGCCTGCTCTGTGGATCACGGTGTCCTCTTTCTATCTGCTCACATCATGGAGGAGGATGAGAATCACTCAGGATCCTCTTTTATAGGAATAATAATTCCATTTATGATAGAAAAGCCCTCCCAAAGGCTCCAGATCCTAATACCATCATACTGGGGGTCAGGATTTCAACATATGAAATGTAGAGGAACACAGAGAGACTAAGTACTTGCATCTTTGTCTGTCTGATTTACTGTTGTATCCCCAGTGCCTGGCAACTGGGAGAAATTCAGTATACAATGGTGAGATGAACAAATCAATGCATAGACAGAAAAATGACTACTTGCGGAGTAGGAATCCTTCAGGTAGGAGACTGATGATTTCCCAGCTATCTTTCTGTACAAATGGCAAGTGCCATCTTCTCCATAATTCTACATCCAGGCTCTCCCTACCTATATACACAGACATTATGAATTTGATATTTGAAAAGATGTGCTATATGTTGGCAAAAATAGTCCTGGCTCACCTCAACAACACTCTTTACTCTTAAAAATGTTTGTCATCTGATTTCTCTTATAGCTTTGATGAAATAGAATCCAACTTTCAAATATTTAGTTTTAAAATATGAGCTACAGCTGGACCTAAAAAATTGCAGATACATCCTTTGAGGCCAAAGTCTCCTCCAGAGCCCCTCCACCCCCTCGACCACAGTTTTATTTTCACTTGTGAGAAATTACCTCTTATACCTCCAGGGCACCTTAGAGCTTCTGATTGTTGTGATAAGCCACAGCCTCTTACATGTGTTTCATTTTGCTTCTATCTGGATCCTTGTTAATCTGCCTGAAGTGGAAATTTCAGAACAAAGCAAAGTGGTCATTAATAGTATCACAAGTGTGGTTGATAATAGGTTTAATTTTTGTTCTTTTGTTTTTCCTTAAGAATCTACCCAAAACACTTAACAGATAGAAAAATAGGGGGTCCCAAATAATCATTAAAAAATCTTTTGATTTTGAAAAGAAATAATTAAGGTATAGCTGTGACTTGTTTCCTGATCACAGGATTGGGTTCCCTGGATACAGACTTTGTGTTATGCTACTTAGCCAAAGAGCAACTTGGGCATTTATCCAGGGTACTCCTCAAGGATCTAATATGCTAATTGAAAAGAAAAAGAAACCTTAGGAAATAACTTGACAAGCAAACAATTCATCCAATTAGAAACACATGGAATTATTTCCCAGTCCTTTTATTTGAAATCTCAACTGCTTAAGCCAGATTTTTAAAAAATCATCATTTCTCAAAGCACAAACAGAATTAGTTACAATTCCAAGGTAGAATACAACCAACTGTAATTAAAACATCATATAATATAAATCCCCTGTTGAAATTTCAGCACACTTTATGTTTACAGGTAAAAACAAAAACAAAACAAAACACTTTTTCTTAAGCTACCCTTCTAGATTCTCAAGCCCTCTTTTAGCCTGCTGCAGCTGTAATATCTCTAATGGAGCTAGCTTTCTCTGCTTGCTGTCCTTCCCAAGGGGTTCTTGGGACATACTTCAGCATGAAGCATCGCCTGACATACACTAGATGGTTTTGTTTTCCTTTTCTTGCTGCTCTATGACTTTGTTCATCATCATCACAAATGTGGTATACATGAAAAAGTAACAACAGAGAGGAAGGATTTAATCACTGGACCACTAGACTCTGCCTCTTTATGGTATCTACTGTCCACATATTTGATATTTTAGGTAATTCAGTTTATAACTTAAAATTAGGATAGAAAACTGAAGGTTGGGCTGATAACTTGATAAGCTCTAGAACACAAAAGGACTTGAGTTTGAGAATCCCAATTCCCTGGGGATGATTTTGAAATAGTGTAAGGGGGAACAAAGAAGGGGAGAGACGTGATGAGAATAGTTACTGAGTGAAAGTTTGAGCCAGTCCAAATGATTTAATACAAACATACTGAGGAAGATCCAAGGAGTTTGAGACTCTCCCAATGCCCAGAGAAGGACAGGAAATATTCCAGACAGCTGCTAATGACCAGACCTGGATGAGCTGCTGGAGGCTGGAGTGAAGAGTTTGGATGAATTCATTCACATGAATGCATATATACATACCCATGAGTGCATTTACACACACAATCTCTTCTAAATTTAGTCTAAATCAATGACTTAAGGAGTTAACTTCTTTACTACTCAGTAATTAAGATAATTAAGATATAATTCTCATTTATGTCAGCTCTATTATCTATGATATTAGAAAGACCAGGACAAGGTGAGGCTAATTAGAATCCATAGAGAATTCTCCAATCTCACTTCAGACAATTTCAATTTTTTCTACGTAAGCTTTTCCCATAACTGCTAATGAAAAGCTAAAAGTAGCCTGAAGTTTTTCCTTGAAGCTTCTTGCTTCCCATCTGTTAGTGCTGCTAGGAATGATTAAATGCTCACCCAAAACCAAAAATTTGAGAAAGAAGGAAGATGACATACAAATAAATCCCTATTTAAAAAAAAACAAACCTTAAACTTTGAATTGGTGTCATGGGTTACTTTGGAGGGAGCTTAGGTTAGCCCACTTAGAAAGAAGAGATTATTGAGACAGGGTACATTTCTGAACAGTTCCAAGGAGGCCTGTTGTACATTCCTAAGAAATTTTGTCTCCCAGTTGCAAGGAAGTCAGAAATCTTCTTAATTCCATTTTCCATTGTGTAGCAGAAGAATAACAAACAGCTTGGTTCTGCATTCAGAAACATTAAGATAGAAAACAAAAGGATGCACACAAAAAACATCTCCATCCCATTGTCACTTGCCAATGTATTACTGTAGAATGGTCTGGTTTTGAGTTACAGAGATATCACTTTCTCCTTTCAACTACTGTCATTGAGAAGAGCACTAAAAATGATCCTTGGCACAATAGGGAACAGAATTTTCAGGTTAGGCCTGACCTTTGGCAAGCAAATGAATTCCAGTGAGAATACATGCACAGGGCATGTTGGGGAGGGTTTCATGTCTAGGAAAGGACTTAATTATGGTACAGTGAACAACTGAGGTTTTACAAAAGGAATAGCATGTGGTATTTGATGAGCATTTACTTCAATATTTAGTTACACCCAAAACATTACTCCCAAAAAAGGAAAAGTAAATTTTAGGCTAATATGTCAACTAATAGAAATAAGTATAGTCTTCAAGAAGAATGAGAATATCAGAGATCAACGGAAACCACATTGTCAATGAGATCCATGCAAGGGCCCTTTCTTCTTCATTTTTAATTCTTAACCTCTGAGTTGCTAACTCATGTCCATTTTAACCCCATTTTTTTTTTTTTTGTAGGTAGAGTAAATACCACCATTTTAGCCTGGGAAACCTATTCAAACAAGCTGGTCAATTCTCCCTGAATCTCAGATCTGGGATAATTTTATTTTTCTTCCTCTCCAGACCACTGGGCCATTTCCAGAATTCTGCAAGTAAAGGCCTATGAGCTTGGGGATTATTTAAAGCCATTAAGATGCGGAAGTTCCCAATTTCGATCCCCTGTAACTCCCCCCACAAAAATAATAATAATAATTGCGATTTTTCTCTCGTTCTCCTCATAACCAGCCACACAGACTTTTCCTTGAATCCTGAACAAGCCAAGCTCATTTCCCATCTACACCTCTGTGCTTGCTCCTCGGTTCCTCCAGAGAGCCCTGCTTGGCTGGCTCCACACTGCCCTGCTCTCAGTGTAAGCACTTTCTTCTCTGAAAAACAGCCTCCCTGACTAGCCAATCTAAAACCACCTTTGTTCCTCTCATTCTAGTGCATAATCCTGATTTATTTTCCTCAAAATAGTGTCACCAATCAGAAAATGTTTATTAGTTTCTGTTCTGTCTCCTGCATATACAATGTCAGTTCTATGAGATCAGAGGCCAATTTCTATTCTGAATGCCCAGAATCTAGGCTAATTCTGCACAGACTAAAGGCCTTCACAATGTTATGTAATTTTTAAAAAGTGGTGGGAGAGTTTACTATATATTAGAGCTTGTTTATCTCATTTAATTCTACCCCAGAGCTGTGATATAGACACCATTCCTATTTTATACATGAAAGAAGTAAATCTCAGAGACATAGAATAATTCTTGTAAATGGCAAAACCAAATACAACCTAGGTAGATAATTCATCTCCAGAGCCCACATTCACAAATGGTGTTCATTTTCTTCATACATTGCAATATAAAAGCCTTTTAAAAAGTCTGGGTTTGTGTTGAACTTTTAAAAAATTGAACCCATTACATGCCTATATGGCTTATTAGAAAGTTATTAGAACTTTTACTATGATAATGTACCCCATGACCCACCAGGATGAGGATATAATTTTCACCATAGGTAGAACCAGTGAAACCCATTTTAATGATCCTATGAGAGATCTGACTCAGTAAAAGATGTTCACCAGGCAGAGACAGTGGTAAGAGACCATAGGTTTCTGATTTATTTGGAAGTAGTGCCCAAAGGATTTCCTGATGTTGTGAGAGAAATCAGAAAAATCCAAAATGACTCCATCTTTTTTGGTCAGGAAAGAAAAAAGATAGTATCAGTCAAGATAGTGAGCACCTACATTTCGAAGAGACTCTAAGTGGGAAATCAGTTTAGCTTTGTGTATGGTAACTTAGCGACATCCTTAAAATTTCTGATGTAGTCAGGATTTGCAAAGGAAAAGATTTGATACAGGACACATAATTTTATATGATTATTTTATAATAGTCACCCAAAAAGTCAAATGCAGAAGAGTGCAAGAGATCTGTCCACATGCTAGAGTCCCAAATAATCCAGCTAAGGGCCTGAATCCCATGGCAATGTCCCACACGAGTCCAGCCAGAGGCCTAGACCCCACAGCAATGTCCCTAGAAGTCCATATCAAGGATCTGCACCAGGAAGGCCCAAAGGACAGTGGTGGAAGCTAGAAAGTCTGCAGTGGTGGGCTGAAATATCTGTGCCAGAAGGCTGAGGGATCTGCTCTGGAGCCAGGAGACAACATCCAAGATGAAGATAAAGATTGAAGCTCTCCCGAAGGAAGACAGCAGCCAAAGCTGCTTTGAAAAAAAACCACCAAAAAGCAGCTTCTTCAGGAAAATCAACAGCATGCTGACTCAGTTCAGCAGGCCATTCCCACTTAAATTGACCATTAGTTAATCCATCACAATTTCCAAGTAGAGATGATAGGTAGAGTTGGAGTTTGGAGAAGAGGTTTTACCTAAAGCTATAAATCTAGGAAGGGCTAATCAGTGGGTGAGATTTTTAAAATCATGAAAATGGACGGAATTAGCAAGGGAATGAGTAGAGTTCCATAAGTAAAACCGAAACAAAGGAGCTGATCCTGATGCCTAAGTATAAAAAGGACGTATTCATCAGGAAACCAACCCAAAGCCTTGACTGGTGGGTGGGAGCAGGGAAGAGACTATGAAGAATGATAAATTTCTCCTGCAGGGCTGGAATATAAGGCAAAGAGGTCTCCCCTGCCCCAAGTCATGCCTGTCATTCTGAGTGAGGAGGATTCTGAGACCACATCTGGGCACCGTAGGAAAGAAGCATATCATGAGTGTTTTCTGCTGCCCTTGTAAAGCACTGAGCGGTAACAAGCAGTGCAGGGACCCCTTGTTGGCCATTCATTCCTTGACTGGAGGAAAGGCTGTGTGACTAAGGACATTCAGCAGGTGGTGTTTGCAGAGTTTGCTGAATGTTTTAACTGGCTGCAAGTCAATGTGGGTGGCTCGTAGCCATAGCCGTATAGAACTTGTGGCTGGAGTTACTGCCCATATGTAAGAAAAATTTTATTGCTCACGAGTCATTAGTACATGTTGTGCG